TTTTTTTTTGGGGGGGGGGGGGGGGGGGGGGGGTAGGTCGGGGTATTTTAGAATTGTTTGCGAAAAAAGTCGTGGCCTTCCCACTTCCTGGGATGGATTAATGCATGACCCTTCAGAAATACCCAAACAAAAACATCTGACCCTCCCCCCCCCTACCTATCCAAGACAAAAATAACCGGAAGTGAAAATAACAAACTGGAAGTGTTACTCATATAACCACGTTCATCTGCGCACAAAGTAGTTAATTGCGTGGGGTGTAATTGTACGGTGAAAACTTGAAAATGGGCAAGGATGTACGAGGAATAGAAAGAGGGAAATGTGCTTGTGGTGAATGCGAGGATTTCATGAGGTCAGATGGAGCAACTTGTGGCTATTGTGGCTGTTTGCCGACTCGCCATTCTAAGAAGGATGCCCGCCACTCCTCTGACTCTTTTGGTGGGACATCGGCTGCGGGAACAAGTGAAAGAGCAAGTCCAGAGAAGTGGAAAGATGAAGGCCTAGGGTGGTTCCCGAAGTTGTCGGTTTAAGCCCGAGTAGCTTAAGTGAAGAATCCTCACCGGAGACTAATTTTATACCAGCTAGAACCCCGCGCGGAAACATCAAAATCTGGGCGAAAGCGGACACAGGTCGAGAGAGACAATTATGTTAGTTGGGAGAAGATAGTTTTTTGATAAAAAAATTTTTCGACACCTTTAAATAATTTGGATTAATCTTGACTGGAAGCTTTGCTTGTATATACAAAATAGAAGCGACCTGGAGTAATTTCTTCCTTGCCAAAAAAACTGCGACCCTCCCCCGGTTGAGAATAAAACAGCTTTGACCCTCCCCAATTTGTAAAAAATTTACTAAGGACCCTCCCCTCCGAAGCCCTGGCCCACCCACCCCAATAAAAAACGTACCTTCCCTTACCTGACCAAAGAGAGGGGACGATACCGATTCACAATGTGAAGTCAGGTTGTTACTGTTCTCCTGTTCCGTTAAGAAACATTTAAATGCTTGAATCGAAATGAGAGACATTTAAGGGCAGTACCACTCGTTAATATATTCCCTAGATCAAATTTACTCATTTAGTTTCTATAAATCTGGATAAATCGAAACAGCCACCTTAGACGTAGTGTAAGGAGAAATTTCCCGTGAATTCTTTATTTGCTTAAATATTCCCTTTGAAGTTCTTTTAGCAGTAATTTACTTTGCATTGAGATGTTTTAGTTCTTTAAAATTATACATGCCACATTTTACTTCACTGTTGACTTTTAAAAAGATAACTAGTTTCTTAATAATTATACAGCTTAGTCACTGAACAACTCAGTGGTGTATCAGACCTTCAGACTTGGGGAGGGGGGGGGGGGATGGGGCAACGCTACTGCAACAGGACCTTTTTCTAGCCTGAGACCATGCTCCGCAGTGTGGAAAGAGTCAAAATGGGGTGAAATAGGAAAAATATCGCCGAGCGGAGAGGAGGCCGATTTTTTTCTCCTTTTGCCCCCAATGCGGAGCCTGGTGCCAGGCTAACCTTTCTCCTGTTTAAATACCAATTGTCTGTAGTTTTTATAGTTTTGACAATTTAAGGAATCCTGAGCAACTGAAACTCAAATTCTTTTGCACGGCTTTAGCGCTGAATCTTTGTAAGTTTCCGAAATTCATTTGCTTGACTGACATTGAATTTGAAGTCATTTAACCTAGCCAATTAGGCTAACTTTGACAACTTTGTCCAGATTTGTTTTCCGTTTTCAGCTGATTTTATACAGCCTTCTTTCCATTTGTTTTGTGATGATGTAATAAGTTGATCGGTTAGTATAAATAGAGCACTGTTATCCCATTTTTTCGATTTACATGACTGTGTGATTTTCATAGATGATTTACATGACTGTAGGAGATGCTTGTACACTCTTTTTTTTCTATAAGAATATATTTTATAAGAATATCGAGGCTGAAATTTGGGAAATCTTAAGAATACTCTAAGAATAAACTCCAGGCTGAGATTTTGAAAAGGATATAATTTCGTGTGGTGAAAATCTGTAAATACAGTACAAATATAGGTTTTCAATTTATTCCTTTCTTTAAACGGCAAAACTAGCTAACTATATTTAACAAAACTATAATTGATACCTTAATATATTCTAAAACGGAAATGTCATAAGCTATAATTAAGAATAATACAAGAATATTTACAGCCTAAAATCGGCGGAAAAATAAGAATATTCAGCCTGGCCCGGGAAAACAATATTCTTATAAAAAAAAAGAGTGTATGCAGTTTACATTTACGTCCACGAGCTGAAGGTTAAACTGTTACGTTAAAGTCCAGGTTTGAGTGCTGTCCTGTCTCCAGTTTTAGCAGATCCGTAGTCCCTGGAATAGTGACGAGTTCAAGTCCCGCTAGCCAAGCGAGTTGCAGAGTTTGTTTTCTCATTTGTTGTTCATAACGCTCGTTTTCCCCGATTTGGGGATGGCCTGGTAATGAGGTTGTATGGCGGGAAAATTTATAAATTGGCGCCAATGTTTTTATCGCTTTTCCCATCCCGCTTTGCGAGTCAATGACCCAGTCGAAGAAGGCAAGATGGCCGGCAGTGTGAGGAACACGGAAAATCTTTTCGAACAGCAAGACAGAGAGAAACTTTCAGAGCTTAATTTTTATGGTTCAGGTGGAATTAGGTTCAAGGGAAGTGAAAGCATCGCACTTTCTCTTCTAAACAAGCTGAGACTCGAGGGAGAAGAAGGGGGTTTTTGCGACGTGACCCTGGAAGTAGAGGGAAGACAATTGGCCACTCATCGATGTGTTTTGGCGGCAAGCAGCCAATTTTTTTATACCATGTTTAACAGTGGTATGAAAGAATCAAACCAAACACTCCTTAAGTTGCATTCAGTTAGTTTTGACTCCATGTCGCTCATTCTTGATTATTTTTACACGCGAGAGATTGTTATAAACGACGACAACGTGTTGGAGTTGCTCAACACTGCAAGCTTTCTTCTTGTCACTCCAGTGAAAAAGGCGTGCATTCAGATTCTGAACAAACAGCTTAGCATTGAAAATTGTTTCAGTATTCTACAAGTAGCCGAACAGTTTGGCGCAAGTGAACTTGCGAAAAGGGCAAGCAACTCTATTAAAGAGAACTTCTTCTCTGCGGTGAACAACGAAGAATTTGTTTCCATTTCAAAAAAGAGTCTGATCAATTTCATATCTAGTGATGGAATTCAAGTGGAAAGGGAGGAAGAGGTCTACCAAGCTGTACTGAAGTGGGTGAAGTATGATGAAGAAAGTCGTGTCTCAGATTTACCTGAATTACTAATCCATCTGAGAGGGAAGTCGTTGCCTAAAGGATTCCTGAAATCGGAGATGTCGAAAGAGCCAATACTTGCTACCTTCTCCAGTCTGTTAGGATCTTCCAAGAGGAAGATCAAAACAAAATGGACAAAGAAGAAACGTGGAAAGCAAACAGGGGCAGATGACAAACCACAAGCTGAGAGGACAAGACCATCCACTGAACTGCATAATGTCATGATTGGGATTAGTGCTGTGCTATATGGTTCCTGCAAGGTATTCTGTTATGATTTGGACAAGGAAGAAACATTTGTTTTATCAGATTATCCTAATATGCATGTTGGTCCAGAATTGGCAGTTATTGGACGGTCTCTGTACATAATAGGTGGGTGTAAAATTTTCAATGGTAGTCCCACGAGATTAAGCACTCTGTGTCTCGATGAGGTGAAGAATCAGGAGAAGTCTTCTTTTAGCTTCAGTATGCACCCACAATGGGAGACTAAGACACCTTGTAAAGTGAGCAGAGCAAGGGCTTCCTTGGCACAACTTAATGGGCTGCTGTATTATATTGGTGGATCGCTTGAAGATGGCAGTTGCTGTAACACTGTGGAGTGTTACAATCCAGAAATGGATGATTGGGTGTTCTGTGCCAGCTTAAACACTTCTAGATCTAGGTCAGGCTGCGTGACAGGGAATGGTCACATTTACATCATTGGTGGTGGAACCGCTCATTTATTGGAGAATTCAGATTTTTTTTCAAGTGTTGAGAGGTTTGTTTGAGTTAAATAAGAATTTTCTCACTTTTTTCTCATCCATGCCACTAGGCAAGCAAATGGCAAGATCTAAGCTCACTGCACAGAAATCACTAGATTGATGCCATTTTTATCCATAAAAATTGTTTTGAGCTGCTTTATTTGCCCATTTCCTATTTGGAGAATTTCTCCACTTGAATCTTATGTTTGCTGTAAAGTTCAAGTTTATGGTAGCATAAACTGATGTTAATAAACCTGAGATTATTTCCTACGAATGCAAACATGTTGACATACTAGCAACAACCATATCTCTGTTCTGTTGTCACACAATGTTCAACATTTGAAAGCTTTTTTACTAAGTAACTGTAGATACTAGTCAAAAGTACGAGAAAGAACAATGAACAGTAACTAGTTGTTTGATTTCAATGTATCCTTCTCCTTTGGCAAAGTCCACTGTAACTTAGCATGATCTATTTTCTTAACTCCACAAGGGTTCCATCCATGTTATCACATGCTGATCACACACATGTGCTCCTCTTTGTGCCATACAATGTCCTTTCCCAGCCAGTTTTCCTAGGGCTTTGGTCCATTCACGACTGGGCCTCACCCTGGAGACTGATAAGTACTCCTGCCAGGGTTGCTACCCCTGGTACCACTCGATCTTGTCTCCCCCCAGGAGGGTTTCTCTCCTGGTCACCTTACCCCTAGATTTAAGTGCTTCCCTTGCCACCAGAATTTTGGGCATTACTTTCTTATGTGTTTTCTGTGTGGTATCTGGCGTAGAAAATTTATGCAAACCCACTGCTAATGGAAGAGTTTAGTAATGTGATTGTAAATCTCCCTAATGTTTCACTCAGCTCTGCCTTGGAGCTAAGTGAAACATAACCCTAACAGCAGGTTAAACCCTAATAGCTACTTAGGAAATGACTTAAAGTCGGCTTTTTCTAAGTTGTCAATGAGTATTTTTGGAGATGTGCATAATATAAAAAATATTACATAACGCACACATGTTGTTGATCAAAATGTAATTTAGCTTAAAGTACTTTCAATGTAAGTTGTTTTAGAATATAAAATAGTTCAACAATTCTTGCAAAGTTCCTCATCCAATTATCTTGAACCTGTGGTACTTTTAAATACCTTTGTAGGTATGATCCAGAAAAGGATACATGGTCATTTGTTGCCAGTATGAATCAAGCAAGGGTGCTGCCAAGCTCTGTATTTTTGAATGGCAAGATCTATGTGATTGGGGGACGTACCTTCAGTGCAACTGGTATAACCTCAACCCCTACGTGTGAAGTGTATTCTCCTAATACTGACGAGTGGCATTTCATTGCAAGTCTCCCTTACCCTGATCCTGGGTGCAATAACATTATTGTAGTAAAGAACCAGATCATAGTGCCTTTGATGCCTGATGTAACTTTTGACTTCTCCCATGATGCTGTTAAATACAATGTGCGGACTAATACTTGGCGAAAGGTAGAGCATTTTGGTCCAAGCAGCAAGCAGGCATGTTTTACTCTCTGTACCACTAAGCTGCCTGCAATGATCCTGCAAAGGCTGCCCGAAGCACCGTTTTCAGACGATGTGTTTGGAGAAGATAGTGAAAATGATATGGAAGATGATTCTTACAGAAGTGACAGCGATGACAGTTTAAGTTTCTTTGGATGGCATGCATTGCATGGGTTTATGGATTGGGCCAATGGTTCCAGTGATGATGAAGCCTACTGGTAAACAGTTTAACCTTTTAACTCCTAATATCCTCATACAAATTCTCCTGACTGATCTTTATACATTTCCTCAGGGCATAAGTTGAGAGAATTTGATAAAAGATCAAAATATTTTCCCTTTGGTATCATTTGATAAATTCTCTTTACCTTGAAATTCTTAGAAGAAAGTTGATGTTCCATTTTAACTCTTGGGACCTACAGGGTTAAATGCTTCCCTTAATTTGGAGGACTTGAAGTGCCATGTTTTATTTACTTGGGGAGGTTTTAAATGTATCTCAATCAAGCATTTCATTTGTAAATCTTAAAGTTTTCCAGTTAACTATGGGTACTTGTTTTAACCATCATGAAATTATAGGGCATTTTCACTCACGTGGCCAGCATCTATGCTAATTTATTGGAACAATGAAAGTTTTTGCATAAGAAAAGAGTTCAACTCCCACAGGATTAGTTTAGAACACCAACATGGCCACCATTTCAGTGTTATGGAACACCAATATGGCCGTTGTGATGTCTGTGAAAATGCTTTATAAGGAAGTAGTCTTCATTTGGCACTGATGTTTTAGGTAGTGTGCTAGTATAAGTTTCCTAAGCAATAATAGTTCTGAAAGTTCCATTACAATACACTCAAGCAACGCAGTGAAGATATGGGTGTTCCAATGAAAGAAACTCCACCATATAGAACTGTCAATAACTTGAAATGTTGCTAATAATTGACTGATATTGTAAGGAGACGTTCAGTTATGGTCACTTGTGGAAGTTAGAGGGTGGTGCCTCCTACAGCTGGTGACAAAATTATTGGTTTAGGCACATTACTCTGAAGGACATTCCCCTTGGTTTGCTGTCCCTTCCTCACTGCCTCTGGAAATATTGTCCTGCAGTTCAGGGTATGTGTCAAAAAAAAAAAGAAAACCATATCATTGTCCCTACAATAATTCTTTTGTTTCCAATTGTAGCACAAAAATATCCTTGCATAGCTTCTGACTAAGCTGTCAAAGTAGCTGTCAGGGAAATCTGAACACATAAAGTAGAGGTGATCGTGCAGGTTTCAGACCAATTTAACCCTTTAAGCCCCAGTATCCACATACAAATTCTCCAGACTCATCTCCTTACATTTCCTTTAAGAATGAGTTTAGAGAATTTGATAAAAGATCAAGGCATTTTCCCTTAGGTGATCATTTTATTAATTCTCATAACCTAATCTCTTGACATTGTATGGATATCGTTAAGAGAAAATTGACGTTAGACACTATTGGGACTTAAAGGGTTAAGGCTTTAATTCTGAAGCAGTTGAATGTCTAAGGTTTTAAGTGAAATTTCTGTTTACCATTAATTTATATGTAGTAGTTAATTGTCTATCTCAGATAATTTTTGTTTTTCTTTTGTTTTTGGGCATGGTAATGTATGCTAATGAAGTTGAAATAATAAAAATTACCTGAGATAAAACATTAACCATACAACTAGCAAGGATTTATAAAATAGTTAGACAATGTTATGCTGCTTTCTATTACTACTACTTACTACTATTTGTGATTATTTTAATTTAAAAATTAGGGTTAGTAAGGTAATTAGTTTGTTGAGCGTTACTTCAGGTAAATAACTTTTACATTCATGTTTGATGAATTTATATTTTGAAAAATTATCGGTGGAGAAAGTAACACCTATGATTTATAGAGTTATATTTTTTAAAATGTTATATTTAGAAACAGCAGTGAGAAATTCAAAAGGATGCAGTGAAGTTTTAAAGTAAATACTCTGTTTTTAAGAGCCTTTTAGAGCGGTTTTCATTTGAGTGTCGAAAAGTAATTGGTTTTGCACTTTCTACACGATGCGATTGGCTTAAAAGATTCGCACCACCTTTTCATCCAATCAGAAGTAAAACCAAAGCCAATTGTGATGCGCTCGCATGCATTTTCCCGCCCTTTGCGTCAGCCACATGTAATTACTTCGAGTTTTGATTGGTTCAATGCATTGTCTGTGTCCTATGTGATTGGCCAGAGTAATTACTTTGGTTTTGGTTTTACGACACTCAAACGAAAACCACTCTATTACATGATATGAAGTTTTAATTGTTGTGGTAGTCTCGTCCATTCCGTGTAAAGTATCCAAATACTTCATTTGAAAGTTGTCATAAAGATAAAAAAATCTTACTTCTAAATAACAAAATGACATTTTAGTGAAAAACAAACATGTGTCATGAGTGTTTTAATACAAAATTAGGGACAACAGCAATCTTTGAAAACTGTTACACAGAACAGTTTCCAAAATACCCACATGCAATCTTTTTGAATCTTCAATTCTGTTCCTCTATCCGTGCCTTCTATTGGTCACAATAAAAATCAAAATGTTCCCAGGCTGATTTGACCTTCAGCAACGAGAAGGAAACTTAGCTGAGTTAGCTTCACAAAGACTTCTGGGATCTGTACTGTGGGCACGTCGGTCAGCTATTGGCTCCAGTAACAGTCACAGAAGTCTTCGCCATTATTCCCATTTCACTCCACAACCATGGCAGGATGAATCGTCTCTAATAGGGCCTGTTTACAATTAGGTGGGGGACCCCAGGTAAGTGAGGTAACATGTGGCGGGTCACCCTACCTATCATGTAAACGTGATCAAATTAAAATGAGAGATTAAATGGACAGGCAGGTTACCCCACCTAAGAAGGTTACCTCACCTACCAGGGGTCCCCCACCTCCATGTAAACGAGCCCTTACGGTGAACAAAATCCTATAGTTTGCAAGTTGCTATAGCAATACTCACCCTGTGATCTCCTTTTGATATCAATGTATCAACCAGAAGTGCATCGGTTCTCGCAAAAAAAGTTTTTTTTTTTCAGTCGTTCCAATTTTGAATAACAAAACATTGTTTGTAAACAGTGATGTCTCCTGTTTAGCTGTAATTTTCTGTGAAATTTTTTACATTGACCACAATTTTAAGAGGGTTATTTTATATTCCACTGAGTAAATCATTAAATTTTGGGCTATAAAAGTAGTGGGAGCAGTGAATCGTCTTGGGGGAACAGGCAGGTTTTAAAGTACTAACACTAAAGGCAATTGGACTTAGGTGTTGGACTTTTTGTTGTTTTTTATCTTTGACCTTTTTTCAGGTTTGGGCGAATTTGCCTACAGGTTGCTACGCTCCTGAAACGACGTGGTTTAAAGGCCTGTCGACGTTTAAATATTTTATGGCGCACATGTTTGATAATGTAGAACAAGAAATTAGGTCAACTTTTTTTTTCTTTTTAAGGATAGCCACGCCAAGCTGCAACCAAAAATAACACGGACAAAGGAAAACACCGAGTCCCGGGTGAGCGGATGACTTCAAACTCATGACCTCTTCAGCGGCTACATGCTTAGCTCTCTCAGTCCTTTCCGTGAGCCTGCACGGGCGCGCCCGTCACTCCTCCTCAAGGAGAGACTGGAGTGGCGGGCTCTAAGTCCCCCCGCCATCCGACTAACTCCCTACATAGAATTTGCAAGCGTTAGGAGCAAGTTTCGTTGCCTGCAAGCCGGCGTCCACAGCTTGTCCGGGAAACAGATGGCATCAGCTGCATGCAGGCTGCAAATTTTACATGTAATAGGATTTTAAGGTCTGCGGCTGTTTCACAGAAAAGTTATCTGAAAAAAACTAAATTCATAGGCAATTAGACCGTTTTCAGTGATTTCTTATTTACCCTCTGTTCGATTCTGGCTTCATTTTTTTTCATCATTTTTGTTTTTATCGATCAATTTTTTTTCAGGTACGGACGTGCGTTGTACAGCTAGTTACGCCCAGTGCGAGCGCCAATCGACGCGCTCTTGAGTGTTGAAAGGTTCCACAATTCCGAACATCGACATCAATACAACCATACTGTAGGGACTTAGACAAGGATATGATTTCCCTGTCGTACGTAATATATATAGGTAGCATGTGAGTCTAGGGCAAGCAGTCTGTCTTTGTATAAACGACATTTACCTCAGTTGGCTTTGCAATTAAATCCATCTGGTAATTCACGCCCCACGCCGCTGAATTTAGATGAACTCTTTAGATTTTGATAGCGATCGCGATCTCTAAATGAAGCTAATAGGGAGCTTAAGCAACAGCATTTTTGAGCGACGGACGTCAACCGGAAGTGGACTTTTTGCATCATTGGGCAGTGGTTTGGTTGAAACTCTCAGGTAAATCGTCTTTATAAGAGAAAAGAAACTTAGCAATACAAATTTGTGAGCGTCAACACATATAAAAAGGGAGAAGGCCTCACTTCCGGTTGACGTGCGTTGCTCAAAAACGTCTTTGCTTAAGGTCCCTAATAACGTTTACATTGCCTCAGGCACGCGCGAGTAACATGCTTTCGGAGCCCTATAAAAGGTCGTCACTCCTAAAAAGGCCAGAGCACTCGATCACCACCAACGAAATGGGATGTTTGCCGCTCAGGGCCACCAACAAGACGCGGCAGGACAAGATCAGAAATGAGAACAGTGATGAGAAGATCAGAGAAGAGGTTGGCAAAAGGGTTTTCCGTGAC